AGAACCAAGACCAGGACCAGAAACAAGACCAGGACCAGAACAAGAACCAGGACCAGAGCCAGAACCAGGACCAGAGCCAGAACCAGGACCAGAACCAGGAACAGAAACAGGACCAAAACCAGGACCAGAACCAGAACCAGGACCAAAACCAGACCCAGGAACAGAACCAGGTACAGGACAAGAACCAGGACCAGAACCAGGACATGAACCAGGACCAGAACCAGGTACAGGACCAGGACCAGAACCAGAACCAGAACCAGAAACAGGACCAGGACCAGGACCAGGACCAGAACTAGAACCAGGACCAGAACCAGGACCAGAACCAGGACAAGAACCAGGTACAGGACCAGGACCAGGACCAGAACCAGGTACAGGACAAGAACCAGGACCAGAACCAGGACCAGAACCAGAACCAGGAACAGAAACAGGACCAGATGTCCGGCTTTAGGGCGGACAGTCCGGATTTTCATTGCACTGTCCGGCGTCCGGCGCTGCACCCAGCCGGACGTGTATTTGTCCTCCTTTACTCCCAGATTCCACATACTCCGTCAGCGCTCCGCCCCGCTCACGTACGTCGTGCGGAGTACTTGTCTGTCATGTAAATCAATGAGAGCTGTTCCACATCCTCCGCTCGTCACCGCCCACGTACGTCTTCTCCGTCCTTCACCGTCAAAATACGGAGCTGAGCTATTTTTTGCTCCCCTCCGGTCCGTCCAGATCAAGACCCGCTATTGCAATCGCACCAAACAGAAAAAAGAATGTAGAGAAGACCCGGTTTGTCAAATTAAATTAGAGTAAAAACAGATCGGTATCTAGAAATTAGAGCATAGTTTGTATATATTCCCAAAAACTAAGAGCAATTAATTAAATAATTGGATGCAGACTATTGGTGCTTCAACAGACCAGGTAGAAGTTGTGAGATTCTAGAGCGCATCTCACAACTTTAAAAGAAAATTCTTATTGCAGGAATGGATGAAGAGATGATGAGTTTGGAAGCAGAGAATAAACAGAGTTCATACAAACTATGTATGATCCTAGTTATCCCTGTTACAAAAATCCACAACAGAAAGAAAATATTTGGGCAGAAACTGAACATCTGCTGGATGATGATGGGGATTTTTTTAATATGTCAGATTAAATTAAGCGTTCACAGGTTTTATACAGGAATGAGGAGCTCTAATTTAATGCTCTTTTAATGCTATTAGAAATAATTTTAATGCCATCAACAAGTATCATGTACACAAGTTATTAGTTTACATGAAATAAGGAGCTGGAAGCACAGTTCCATGACTCAAGTTTATATATATATATATATATATATATATATATATATATATATATATATATATATATATATATATATATATATATATATATATATATATATATATATATATATATATATATATATATATATATATATATGGATAGATAGAGAACATGGTGAAATCATCTTTACTCTCAACAGGCTGCAGCCATGTCATGAATTCCTCTTTTCCAGCCACTTTTTGCAGTTTGCATCGTCCTATTCTCTAGCTCTTTCTCGAGCTTCTTTTCCAAACAACTGCTTTATGATCAATTGCAGCAGTTCTGCGCAAATTAATCGTGTTAAAAAATGGTCACTTTTTAAACACCACAATGTATTAAATAAATACAAATGCTGGGAACCAATTCTTTTTTACATTTCTTTAATATTTTGTTCTATTCAGCTACACAAGCATCCTCTTTAAACTACTAAGAATTGTGCTATAAATGTGACTTTACCCGATTCTTATGTACACCTTAGTAATTTATTGATATGCCGCGCAATGTCCTCCTTTTTGGTGCTATAGAAATGGCCACCCTAACCAGGACCAAAACCAGGACCAGAACCAGGACCAGAACCAAGACCAGGACCAGAACCAAGACCAGGACCAGAACAAGAACCAGGACCAGAGCCAGAACCAAGACCAGGACCAGAACCAGGACCAGGACACAAAACCAGGCCCAGGACCAGAACCAGGACCAGAACCAGGACCAGGACCGGAACCATAACCGGGACCAAAACCAGGACCAGAATGACAATATTAAAAAAAATTAGAAATGAATAAAAGAATAAAAATGAGTTTTTATGGATTTACTGTAGGTGAACACTGATCCCTCCAGTTCATAGGTCAGTATTGGTAGCCCTTTCTATGACTTGGTAGCCATGAAGTAGCCCTCAGCCTTAAAAAGGTTGGTGACCCCTGCTCTATATTTACATTTATAAATAAACAACTTTGCAAAGATGAAAATAAAGTCAGAGAAATGAAACAATTCAAAGGAAAACCTGGTTCTTCTTACCCAATTCGTACCATCAGCTCATCTGCACAACCAGATATACATCCCAAAATTAATATTTTTATATACTTTTTATTGATGACTTTAGGTTCACTGTAAACCTGACTGGATAAAGAATCTATATCATTATTCTCTCCATTTTTAAATTCATACAGCTACAAGTTTGACATGTTTTAAGTTAATATAAAGAACTAATATAAATGGAGAAGCACAACCTAAGGAAGAAAAAGACATTTCTAACAACTTTAACAACTTAAACATGAAGTTCTCTGATCTACAGTGTAATATTAATGTACTGATAAGAGTTGGCCACCAGGAGGCGACATTGTTCTATTCAAGTGTGTGTGGCAGAGACATTGATTAAAGTAGAGTTTGAAAACAGCCCCCAGCTCTAAACATGCTTAGAGGAAGATAAAAATGAAAGATATTCATCCAGCTGAAGCTGTCAGGCAATGTTTATGAGAACTGGTCAGCATTTAGTCCGAGCTTTGAGCTCTATCTGTTTGAAATAGGGCCAGACGATGGTGCCAACTGCAGATAGAAAGTATTACTAACAGTAGCAGGCCTGGATGTTAGCAGTTCTGAAGTAGGAATTCTAGGATAAGAGACCAAATCGTCATCGGAGAGAAAGATAAAAGATAAAGGATGCAGCTGTTAAATGAAGGAGACCAAAACAGCAATGGAAAGCACCAAAATGCATTTATTTATCACACCTTTATTGATTCTGGAAGTTAAGACAGAAAACGACCAGAACAACAAGGCCACATTAAATACTATCTCTAACTAGCTTGTGAATTTGGTGCTATATAAATAAACTGAATTGAATTGAATTGAAATGTTTGAGCTCATTATTGGAAAATACAAAAACCTAATGAAAGCATTCGGGTGGATTAACTGTAGGTCAAAAGCCTCCAGCATAAAAAAAAATCCAGTCCAATTTTATTTGTTAAGCAATTAAAAACAACCACAGATGAGAAAACTGTTGGAAAGAAAAATAAATAAAAAAATAAAACACTATAAAAAAAAACATTCACATAAAATATGAATAAATACATAGAAAAATAAATAAAATACTGTACCTTACAGTGTTTACAGAAATATAAATACTGTGCAAGATCAAAAAATAAAAATAAATAAACCAAATATATAAATGAATGAGTGGCTGTATTACTCTAAACCCCACTAATATTTAAATACACTGAACCACTAGTTTATTTTTAGCTTTCGACCGCCCCAAGATGGCGGCATCACATGCGCTAAAGCTAACGATGCGGGGCCTTCTCTCCTAGTAATAATATAAGAGTAGACCCCAATTCGACCGCTTTAATCTATTAGCACTGACGTGATTGGGTGGCGCCATCTTGGGGCGGTCGACAGCTCCACGTTGAGCAGGAAGAGGATCAGTTTTAATCAACTTTAACTCTCTGAATATCAACCTAATTTTCACAGTTTATTTTTTTTCAGAAAACACAAAAAAAGTTCAGTTTACTTAAATATTTTTGTGGTTTTTTTTTTATATTACTATATACAGAAACATGTTTATACAGGTTTCCTCATCTATATATATATATATATATATATATATATATATATATATATATATATATATATATATATATATATATATATATATATATATATATATATATATAATATACATAATATGTATATAATATACATAAATATATAGATATATACATTATGCATATATTTGTATATATACTGTAAAAAATATTGTTAAATGCTGTAAAAATGTTCACTGCCGTATCAGTTATCTATTTTTCAGATTAACAATATTTATATGCTTTGTTTTTTAATTTATAGTTTTTTATGTTTTATTTATTAATTTTTATATTACAGCACTTTGGTCAGCTGTGTTTTTTAAGTGCTTAACAAATAAAATTGGATTGAATTTGTTTTTTGTTTTTTTCACTCTATCACTTATTCTATTATCTTTATGCACTTTCTAAGGTCCACATAGTGTGAGCAGTGTTGCTGTAATCTGTTGCTGCTGTAACTCCACTATTTCCCCACAGTGGGCCAACAAAGGGAGTTTCTATTCTATGTAGTGTATATCTGCTGTTTATTTAGTAATGTCTTCCAAAGCTCTGATGCCTTCATGAAGTTCTCCCTCCAGCCCTGATGTCAACAGTCTGTTGATTTAGACAAAAATCCATCGAAGTGCTGAGTCATCCTTCTACTGTTCTGCTTAAAGCAGCAGGTTAGGGCAGCAGGATGACCTCCCCAAGATGGCGTCCGTAATGTCTGCGCAGAGACAGTCAATGTGGGGTCTACTGTTATATTACATCTATGCCAACTCTTATATTTTGTCTAAGCTGTCGACCGCCCCAAGATGGCGGCACCAAAGCGACAGATTTTCTTTGTCATTTTGTTTACACAAGTGTAAAACAAAGAGAAATTTCGTTTGAAACAGCTCTCAGGACAATTTCATTGCAGCCTTGAAAAATAGTAAAAGGTACTGTAAATGTACAGTTCTAACATATATATATATATATATATATATATATATATATATATATATATATATATATATATATATATATATATATATATATATATATATATATATATATATATATATATATATATAAAGTAGATGTTACACATCAATGTCCGGTAGGTGGGGCTTTGTGCGGATGAGATGATCGCAATACGACAGAAGAAGAAGAAAGGACGCTAGATAACCGGAAGCGCGTGGAGGTCGCCGCGGACTGCTCCATCATGTCTGCCGTTTATACCACCGTCCTGCTGTGTGTCTACGGCTTCTTCTCCAGCCTGCGGCCGTCGGAACCTTTCCTCACCGCCTACCTGATGGGAGCGGACAGGAACCTGACGGAGAGCCAGGTCAGCCGCTGCTTCTTCTGCTGCTGCTGCTGCGGGGCCACTGGTCCTTCTGTTGCATCACCTCCTGTTTGGAGCAAAACTACCTCAATAAAACCTTTCATTATTGTTCCTACCTGCTAATTTCTGGTTTGAACTGGCTTCATCATCAGCTTTGAACAATAAATGAATCATTTTTTTAGTAATGTTCTATAAATAAAGCTCAGAAAGCTGCTGTTATCTGTTAGTAATAAACCAGCTATTACTGTAATACTACCAGATATCTATTGTTACCAAACTGATTATATATAAATTAGTCCTTCAGGAGCCTCTATACTAAATACTTTTTAACTCTAATTGTTTTTATTGGATGTTAAATGAGAAAAAACTAAACCATTGAGTTCCTGCTGCTTTTATAGGAGAACAAAGTTTGGCTCCTTTAGCCACCTGGGGTTGAATACTGTCATAACACTATATATATATATATATATATATATATATATATATATATATATATATATATACAGGTGCTGGTCATAAAATTAGAATATCATGAAAAAGTAGATTGATTTCAGTAATTCCATTTAAAAAGTGAAACTTGTATATTATATTCATACATTACATACAAACTCATATATTTCAGATGTTTATTTTGTTTAATTTTGATGATTACAAATGACAACAAATGAAAATCTCAAATTCATCATATCAGAAAATTAGAATATTACTGAAGACCAATAAAAACAAAGGATTTATAGAAATGTTGGCCAACTGAAAAGTATGAACATGAAAAGTATGAGCATGTACAGCACTCAGTATTTAGTTGGGCCTCCTTTGGCCTGTATTACTGCAGCAATGCGGCGTGGCATGGAGTCGATCAGTCTGTGGCACTGCTCAGGTGTTATGATAGCCCAGGTTGCTCTAATAGTGGCTTTTAGCTCTTCTGAATTGTTGGGTCTGGTGTATTGCATCTTCTTCTTCACAATACCCCATAGATTTTCTATGGGGTTAAGGTCAGGAGAGTTTGCTGGCCAATTAAGAACAGGGATACCATGGTCCTTCAACCAGGTACTGGTAGCTTTGGCACTGTGTGCAGGTGCCAAGTCCTGTTGGAAAATGAAATCTGCATCTCCAAAAAGTTGGTCAGCTGCAGGAAGCATGAAGTGCTCTAAAACTTCCTGGTATGTGGCTGCGTTGACCCTGGACCTCAGAAAACACAATGGACCAACACCAGCAGATGACCTGGCACCCCAAACCATCACTGACTGTGGAAACTTTACACTGGACTTCAAGCAACGTGGATGAAGTGCCTCTCTTCTTTTCCTCCAGACTCTGGGACCTTGATTTCCAAAGGAAATGCAAAATTTACTTTCATCAGAGAACATGACTTTGGACCACTCACCAGCAGTCCAGTCCTGTTTCTCTTTAGCCCAGGCAAGACGCTTCTGACGCTGTCTGTGGTTCAAGAGTGGCTTGACACAAGGAATGCGACAGCAGAAACCCATGTCTTTCATACGTCTGTGTGTGGTGGTTCTTGAAGCACTCACTCCAGCTGCAGTCCACTCTTTGTGAATCTCCCCCACATTTTTGAATGGGTTTTGTTTCACAATCCTCTCCAGGGTGCGGTTATCTCTCTTGCTTGTACACTTTTTTCGACCACATCTTTTCCTTCCCTTCGCCTCTCTATTAATGTGCTTGGACACTGAGCTCTGTGAACAGCCAGCCTCTTTAGCGATGACCTTTTGTGTCTTGCCCTCCTTGTGCAAGGTGTCGATGGTCGTCTTTTGGACAACTGTCAAGTCAGCAGTCTTCCCCATGATTGTGTAGCCTATAGAACTAGACTGAAAGACCATTTAAAGGCTTTTGCAGGTGGTTTGAGTTAATTAGCTGATTAGAGTGTGGCACCAGGGGCCATCAATTTTGAACCTTTTCACAATATTCTAATTTTCTGATATGATGAATTTGAGATTTTCATTTGTTGTCATTTGTAATCATCAAAATTAAACAAAATAAACATCTGAAATATATGAGTTTGTATGTAATGTATGAATATAATATACAAGTTTCACTTTTTAAATGGAATTACTGAAATCAATCTACTTTTTCATGATATTCTAATTTTATGACCAGCACCTGTATATATATATATATATATATATATATATATATATATATATATATATATATATATATATATATATATATATATATATATATATATATATATTCCTTTCTTACGATACTTAGTTTTTCTGACTAAAGAGATAATTTCACAAAAATAACATTAAAGAAAATTTTTTTTTTTTTCTAAATTATGATTAAGATTTATACATGAATAAACTAACTATATATATATATATATATATATATATATATATATATATATATATATATATATATATATATATATATATATATATATATATATATATATATATATATATATATATATATATATATATATATATATATATATATACCCAGGGGGATTTTTGTCCCCCTGGGTTAGACAAATAAAAACTTTGTTTTCTAATTTAATAATAAACTAATAATAATAATTTTTACAAAAATAAATAGTTATAATATTTTTTCCTGAATTAATGAGATAGTTAAAAAAAAGGAGTAAATAAAAACTTTGTTTATGTGAGTTAAGGAGATAAATAGTGAAGATAATAGGAGGTCTGTGCCATGAGTAGCGTCCAGCGCGCAGGTTTTTTAGCAAAGTAGACAGATTAATAGTGATCACTTCCACATAACGAGGAGACGAGACGGTTTCCCAGCATCGCGATCCATGAAGAAAGTAAACATGAGTTAAAATCAACAATCAGGACACGTTGAAGCGCTGGAGGAAAAATCATCTCTACCATCAGCCTCAGCAGATGGCCGCTCACACTGAGCCTGGTTCTACTGGAGGTTTCTTCCTGTTCAAAGAGAGTTTTCCTCTCCACTGTCGCTACAAGCATGCTTAGTGTGAGGGATTGCTGAAGAGTCAATGAGTCGATGAAATCAGCTGGTTTTCCTTAGATAGAAAACTTTGAATCAATCTGACTGGATGATCTGGTTGAACTGTATCTGTAAATTGAGCTGAGATGAAGCCATAGAAATAAACTGAATAGAACTGAAGTAGAAATGAGCAAATCCAACAGAACATCCTCTATGAAAGCACAGCAGCATTGTCAGGTTAATTAGCTGAACAGCTTTTATTGTTTCCTCCACTCTTTGCTGTCTTTAGCATCTAGGTGGGTTATTTCTGTGTCAGCAGTAGATCCACTGACCCAGTACTTCCTTGGCATGCGGAGCAGATTACCCATGCTCCTTTGCAGACGGGAACGTCCCTCTCTCAGGTTCTCTGGTAAAGGCAGCCAGTGGAAGACATGGGGGAAAGACCCGGAAGTTTCCTTCCTGTCTGTCGTTGAGACGCCTGGGGGTCCATCTACACTGGAGTTTATTAAAATATCACGCTGAGGCGTCATCACACTACTTATCTGAGCTTGTCCTTCACATGCGGCGTAGACAAAACACCGAAGCAGAGGCTGTCCTTGGTTTGGCTCAGATAGAGTCCGACAAACAGCCACTCAGACACGCTTCGTTCTGCTAATCCCCTGAAAAATGTCCGACTAATCAGGCTGTAACTGAATGTGTGACCTCAGTAAAGTGGCGGATGATGCAATCGGCGAGGCCTCTCTTGTCCTCCACGCTACTGTACCACCTAAAGGAATCATTACAGAGCATCATTTCATCTGTTTTATTCCTCCCAGCCTGAGTTTGGAAGCAGTTAAGACTCAAATAATCAGATTGATTATTGAAATGAACCTCAGCTTGTCATTAACTAGAGTATCTGCTGTTAGCTGATAGAGGAAGTCACTCAGAGCAGGAATGATGCAACCAATATATATAGAGAAATGTTGAATTTAAAACAAAACGAAAAGTTTTAGTTTCTTTAAAGCAGATTCTACTATTTGATCAAATCTTAGATTAATTGAAATTATAAATCAACAAATGAATCCATTGATTAGTTGAGCTTTCGCCATCACAGGTTCTGTTTCGGTCAGATGGTGCTGCAGGAACGGCTTCCATCCTGAATCTGAGGGTTAAAGTTCCTTCTGGTGTTCCACAGGGATCTACTGCTGGCCCTCCATGAAAATCTATTAATCTGAGATTAATGAATCATTGATAATCCAGCAGCCAGAACTTCCCTGAAGAAGTTTTTTTCCTACTTGACGAGTTCTGGATATTACGACGGAGTATTAGGGCAGAAATTATTATATACACTCACCGGCCACTTTATTAGGTACACCTGTCCAACTGCTCGTTAACACTTAATTTCTAAGCAGCCAATCACATGGCGGCAACTCAGTGCATTTAGGCATGTAGACATGGTCAAGACAATCTCCTGCAGTTCAAAGCGAGCATCAGTATGGGGAAGAAAGGTGATTTGAGTAACTTTGAACGTGGCATGATTGTTGGTGCCAGAAGGGCTGGTCTGAGTATTTCAGAAACTGCTGATCTACTGGGATTTTCACGCACAACCATCTCTAGGGTTTACAGAGAATGGTCCGAAAAAGAAAAAACATCCAGTGAGCGGCAGTTCTGTGGGCGGAAATGCCTTGTTGATGCCAGAGGTCAGAGGAGAATGGCCAGACTGGTTGGAGCTGATAGAAGGGCAACAGTGACTCAAATAACCACCCGTTACAACCAAGGTGGGCAGAAGAGCATCTCTGAACGCACAGTACGTGGAACTTTGAGGCAGATGGGCTACAGCAGCAGAAGACCACACCGGGTGCCACTCCTTTCAGCTAAGAACAGGAAACTGAGGCTACAATTTGCACAAGCTCATCGAAATTGGACAATAGAAGATTGGAAAAACGTTGCCTGGTCTGATGAGTCTCGATTTCTGCTGCGACATTTGGATGGTAGGGTCAGAATTTGGCATCTACAACATGAAAGCATGGATCCATCCTGCCTTGTATCAACGGTTCAGGCTGGTGGTGGTGGTGTCATGGTGTGGGGAATATTTTCTTGGCACTCTTTGGGCCCCTTGGTACCAATTGAGCATCGTTGCAATGCCACAGCCTACCTGAGTATTGTTGCTGACCATGTCCATCCCTTTATGACCACAATGTACCCAACTTCTGATGGCTACTTTCAGCAGGATAATGCGCCATGTCATAAAGCTGGAATCATCTCAGACTGGTTTCTTGAACATGACAATGAGTTCACTGTACTCAAATGGCCTCCACAGTCACCAGATCTCAATCCAATAGAGCATCTTTGGGATGTGGTGGAACGGGAGATTCGCATCATGGATGTGCAGCCGACAAATCTGCGGCAACTGTGTGATGCCATCATGTCAATATGGACCAAACTCCCTGAGGAATGCTTCCAGCACCTTGTTGAATCTATGCCACCTAATAAAGTGGCCGGTGAGTGTATATTTTTTAGACTAAAGTAATATTGTGAAAATAAAGTAATAATAGAATAAAGGGAAAACATTCTGAGAAGCACTGTCTTCCATAAAATGAGGAACATTGAGCATCTTGCGAAGTTACAGTACTTCTGCATCGGTTTGACATATAAGGAAATATTCAGTCCTTCAGCATCAAATTATCAGTATGTCTGAGATAAAGTAGACTCAGGTTGCTGATTGGTGGAGCTGGTCGGTGCTCTATGCTTTCTTTCTATAAACGGTTGTGCTATGGTGACTTTATTCTCGTAATATTATGACTATTCTGATAATGTTGCTACTATTCTCGTAATTTTGTGCATTTATTCTCATAAGATTCTTACTTTATTCTCTTAATGTTACTCTTTATTCTCGTGATGTAGCGACTTTATTCTGGTAATGTTGCGACTTTATTCTGATAATGTTGCGACTTTATTCTCGTAATGTGGCGACTTTATTCTCGTAATGTGGCGACTTTATTCTCGTAATGTGGCGACTTTATTCTCGTAATGTTGCGACTTTATTCTCGTAATGTGGCAAGTTTATTCTCGTAATGGGGCGACTTTATTCTTGTAATGTGGCGACTTTATTCTCGTAATGTGGCGACTTTATTCTCGTGATGTTGCGACTTTATTCTGGTAATGTTGCGACTTTATTCTGGTAATGTGGCGACTTTATTCTCGTAATGGGGCGACTTTATTCTTGTAATGTGGCGACTTTATTCTTGTAATGTGGCGACTTTATTCTCGTGATGTTGCAACTTTATTCTGGTAATGTTGCGACTTTATTCTGGTAATGTGGCGACTTTATTCTCGTAATGGAGCGACTTTATTCTTGTAATGTGGCGACTTTATTCTCGTAATGGGGCGAATGTATTCTCGTAATGTTGCGACTTTATTCTGGTAATGTGGCGACTTTATTCTGGTAATGTGGCGACTTTATTCTTGTAATGTTGCGACTTTATTCTGGTAATGTGGCGACTTTATTCTTGTAATGTTGCAACTTTATTCTGGTAATGTTGCGACTTTATTCTGGTAATGTGGCGACTTTATTCTGGTAATGTGGCGACTTTATTCTGGTAATGTGGCGACTTTATTCTTGTAATGTTGCGACTTTATTCTCGTAATGTGGCGACTTTATTCTCGTAATGTGGCGACTTTATTCTTGTAATGTTGCGACTTTATTCTCGTAATGTGGCGACTCTATTCTTGTAATGTTGCGACTTTATTCTAGTAATGTGGCGACTTTATTCTTGTAATGTTGCAACTTTATTGCCGTAATGTGGTGACTTTATTCTTGTAATGTTGTGACTTTATTCTAGTAATGTGGCGACTTTATTCTTGTAATGTTGCAACTTTATTGCCGTAATGTGGTGACTTTATTCTTGTAATGTTGTGACTTTATTCTGGCGATGTGGCGACTTTATTCTAGTAATGTGGCGACTTTATTCTTGTAATGTTGCAACTTTATTCTCGTAATGTGGTGACTTTATTCTTGTAATGTTGTGACTTTATTCTGGCGATGTGGCGACTTTATTCTAGTAATGTGGCGACTTTATTCTTGTAATGTTGCAACTTTATTCTCGTAATGTGGTGACTTTATTCTCGTAATGTGGTGACTTTATTCTGGTAATGTTGTGACTTTATTCTGGCGATGTGGCGACTTTATTCTTGTAATGTTGCGACTTTATTCTGGTAATGTTGCCACGTTATTCTCTTAATGTTGCGACTTTATTCTTGTAATGTTGCGACTTTATTCTCGTAATGTGGTGAATTTATTCTCGTAATGTGGCGACTTTATTCTCGTAATGTGGCGACTTTATTCTCGTAATGTTGGGACTTTATTCTGGTAATGTTGCGACTTTATTCTGGTAATGTTGCGACTTTATTCTGGTAATGTTGCATCTTTATTCTCGTAATGTGGCGACTTTATTCTGGTAATGTTGCGTCTTTATTCTCGTAATATGGCGACTTTAGTCTATTTTTTTAAATAATTCCCACTCTAAGTGGATCGCTGTGTCAGTCTCTATACTCAGTTAACAATTAATCATTTACTAAATGAGTTGAGGATTAATTCAATAATCTATTAATCTAGATTAAATTTTTAATCTGCATCGTATGGGAGGTCTCAAAGACTGTGGCGATCAGACTGGGTCAGGCAGCAATCTGTAAGTTGGTGTTAAAACAGTTCAATGTTTGTCTTTCCATCTGTTTCCCTGCAGGTTGTGAATGAAATCTACCCGGTGTGGACGTACTCCTACCTCGCTCTGCTCCTCCCGGTCTTCCTGCTCACAGACTTCCTGCGCTATAAGCCTGTTCTGGTGCTGCAGGCCTGCAGCCTGGTGCTGACCTACCTGCTGCTGTGGAAGGCCCGGGGCCTGGCCGCCATGCAGCTGCTGGAGTTCTTCTTCGGCCTGGCCACGGCGTCCGAGGTGGCCTACTACTCCTACATCTACAGCGTGGTGGAGCCATCGCTCTACCAGAGGGCGACGGCCTACTGCCGCAGCGCCACGCTGTTCGGCTCGGCCGCCGGCTCGCTGCTCGGTCAGCTCCTGCTGTCGCTGGCCGAAGTGGAGCTGGTGCACCTGGTCATCCTCACGCTGGCGTCGGCCGCCATGGCCGCCGCGGCGCCCTGGTTCCTCCCCATGCCCAAGAGGAGCCTGTTTTTCCACCAGAGTCCAGCAGCGCAGGAGGAGCGACCGGCCGGCTGCAGCTCGGAGAAGGTGGATGACTCGGAGAGCAGCGTGTCCATGGTGAGAGCATCTCCCTGGAAACCAAGTGGTAAACATTTCATGTTGAGTGATAAGCCCCTCCTCCTCTTTCAGATGTCCAGGTCGTCTGAGCCGCCAGGGGGCGGCGGCGGGCCGCTGCAGGTTTTACGGACGCTCCTCCACGACTTGGTGCAGTGCTACAGGTGTCCCACCCTGCTGGCCTGGTCGGTGTGGTGGGCTCTGGCCACGTGCGGCTACTTCCAGATCATCAACTACGCCCAGGCGCTGTGGGAGGACGTCCGTCTGTCCCACCAATACCAGATCTACAACGGCTACGTGGAGACGCTGTCCACGCTGCTCGGTGAGGCTCTTTAGTAGCGGAATGATGATGCATGGTGCAGGTTAGCGACGCAGCAGGTCAATGCAGCACTATGAGGAAGCCTTGCGCCATTCTCCCCGCTTTCCAAGCTAAATCAATGGGAACTACTAGACACATCTGCAATCAACAACAATTATTGAAGATTTCCAGAGGACTTCACCATTGAAATTCACCAGAGCTATAGTGAAACTGACAATGCCCACGTGCATGGCAGCTGGATGCTGGAATACATCGGGGAAAAGTGGAAATAAAAGTTATTTCACCTTTCTGATTTGTGATGCCTGTAAAGCGGGGAGAATGGCGCCGGGCTTACCGCACTATGACGTCACTGCTGGAAGATGTCTCATCGAAATCTGCCTTTTTTTGGACGCCATATTTTAAACACTGAAATTTTTTAACCAAATTTGACTGCGAATGTGTCGACCTTTTGGTGAACTCAAGTCAGAGCAATCAACACTCGATACAGGCGAGCAGCTTCTAGCCATTGAAATGAGCTCATTTGGTCACGTGACAAAACAGTTGTGCATAGCTTTGTTCCCGACTGAATAAAGCTGAATGAGGAAATATTCTTGCTAAATAGATATGATTACAAACCGTCAGCTAGCTGCTAATAGATGTCGGCCATTAGAGTTTTCCATCTAATGCAGGATTCCCGCGGGTCCTTAACCCATTTAGGCCTAAAACGCCTGGAAAAAACACCTTAAAAACCTATGGCCGATTTTAAAAAATACCCCTAAAACCTGAAGTTTTTCTGTAAATTCAGCAACTGTGTCAACGCCTAAATTATTGATATCTCAGCTTCTGTAGCAGATAGAACTCAAAATATATTTTATCTTTGAAATTCTTCCAAAAAAAAATGTGAAAAGCAGTAATCAAAAAAAAAAAAATTCAACCTTTTATTTTTTCCATATGTGATCATGTCTTCATTGAGAATGTGCAATATAAAACGTTTTCAAAATAAAGAACAAACATTAAATAAATAACTATCTGATGATTACTTATTAACAGTATTATTATGCATAATAATGCATATGTCTGTGTTATAAATTGCATACAACCTACCTCCAGATGGCCACAAATCTGTCCCGGGACATATTTTGGGGGAACTGCGTCCTGAAGAGAGGTTTACATACACAGCCCAATAAATGTCTTCATCTCCGTCACAGTCACGGGTGACCACTTTGCCATCTTTGCTCTTGTTGGAGTTTGGTTTGTTTGGTCACTGTACCTATTCATCTCGGTAACTAGATGCATCCAAAGTTCTTCATTAAAAATATGCTCAAATGCCTGCAGCGGTGTGGCGTCTGCAGGCAAATCAACTTTCACTCCAGGTGTGCGGTTGAAAACACTCCGTGCATTGCGGTGGTAGTTCGATTGGTTCAGCGCGTTCAAAGTCATCATTTTCATCTATACCGTCATCAAAGCCGACACACTCCTCAAAATCACTGCCTTCCGACAACTCTTCTCTGTCAAACTCCTCCATGTTTGCTTGAAAAAAACTTCTTTCTTCTTGCTTGACTTATATGCTCTCCCGGCGTCAATGGTAGAATGACGCAACAGCACCCCCGGCTTGAATGGTAGAAATGCGGTAATGCTTTCCCGGCCTAAATGGGTTAAAAAGTCTTAAAAGGCATTGAATTCTTCAAAATAAAACTAAGGCCTTAATTGGTATTAAAATGTCTTAAATCAGTCTTTCCTAGGTCTTAATTTTTAAAACATCATAAATAGGATAATTTTTATTATGATTTATTTATGTAATCTAAATAAAACATTAAAATTGACCTTTTTTATTTTTTGTTAAAAAAATAATGGCTCTCCATTATTGGTTCCGTCCCGATAGAGGAACCAATAAAGCGTTGTGGCGGCCGGGACATTTGGGAGATGCACCATTAACTTTTTGTCTGTAAAATTTGAGCAAGTGTAAATGTAACAAAAATTGTCTCCAGAGTTTCCTCCATGGCTAAAACCAGGGAACATACATGAGGCTCAGTGGATTTAGTGCAAGAAGTCATTCAAGCTCAGAACGATGGGAATTAAGGCAGTGGAGTCGCACATGCGAAGCACGAAACACAAAGCGTCAAAATGGAGTTAGAGAGAAACAGCCGGTATTTCTCAGTTTAGTTCCACCCTTGTCTCTGCAACGCCTCCACTTATCACCAAATCAAACATACTAAGAAAACCATACAAAGAAAAATAGCTGCAAAAAAGACTTAGCACTGGTTATGTTGTGGCTTTAAAACTGATTTGTTTTGTTCCCTGCTAAAACAAAGTTTGTGAATTCAGTTAAATAATTGTTCAAATATATCTGTCATTTGTGTGTTTTTAGCTTTCTTCCTGTATGGGAAGCTTTTCAAAATTTGAAACATTAGTGCAGTGGTTTATGTTAAAATAAACCTTTGGGTTAAGTTGATGCAAGCAGGTTTTCTTGTGTTTCTTGTAAATTTGGTCTTAAATTTTTATTTCAAGTGGCATTAAAAAGTCTTAAAAAGTCTTGAATTTAACTTGCCTCATGCTGTAGGAAGCCTGTAATGGGACTGGGTGAAATAACTGAGCCGATCACAGCTAGTGCGGCACCCCCGTCTGCCAAGGCTCTTGGTTTGATCCGGAAGAAGCAGCCGGTGGCAAACTTTTTTATTTTTTTGACCAAATGAGCTCATTTCATTGGCTAGAAGCTGCTCGACTGCATCGAGAGTTGATTGCTTTGGCTTGGGTTCACCACAAGGTCATAAACGTTTGCAGGTGGGTTAGGGTTAGAGATTCAGTCTACTTATATTCTTTGTTTTTGCAGACAATTTTTTATTTGTAGTGGAATTTTTTGCAGCTGGATTTTTACCAGATAAAAATTTTGTGTATTTTTTATTTTTTTTTTGCAGTGGAATTTTGTGCCTCTTTAAAACTTTCAGCATATAAAAATTCAGTGTAAGGAATTCAATGTGTTAAAAAAAAAGAAGAAAAAAAAAGTGTTTCCGGACTCTGTGATCGCAATAAAAACTATTATTAACATTATTTTTACTGATTAACATTAAATCGTATTAGTTTTGGGTCTAACTAATTATCCATTGATTATTCCTTGTTTTTAATCATGCTTATGGTTAGAAAATGCTGCACTTTTTCCAGATCAATAAGTGACAGGAATATAAATCTCCTTGAAGAATTTCTGGAAGGTTCCAGGCAGCCTCGGACCATCACACTGCCACCTCCGTGCCCGGCTGTTGCTGTGAGGTTCTGTTTTTAGCAGAGCAGCAGCTCTGACCTCCCAGTTCCTGCTTCATGATGTCAGACCCGTGTTGTCCCGCAGGCGCCCTGGCTGCGCTGCTGGTGGGCTGCCTCCCCGTGTCCTGGGCCCGCTGGGGGGAACTGCTCCTCTGGATCCTCTCCCTGCTCATGGCCGCCTGCGTGTTCGTCATGACGCTGCCGGATAAAAACATCTGGGTGTGCTACAGCTCCTACGTGGTCTTCAGAGCCGTCTACATGCTTCTCATCACCGTGGCAACGTGAGTGTCCCCTCCCACCATGCGGATTCGGTTTCCTCCTGTAGAGATAAAGCAGAACTTTAGTTAAGCAAGTCCAGATTGCAGCTGTTGCTCCATCAGAGGCTTCCTGCTGCCTTTGAACACCAAGCAGCTCCACCCGCTGCTGAACCGGATAAAACCGGCCCAATCCTGTTCCCATCAACATTTTGGAAGCATTGCATCAGAAGACCTGAATAGAAACAACAAAAATCTGCTTCCTAAACCAGTTTAAAGGGTTTTTTATAATGATTTAGAAACATTTAAAACTAAATGTTCATAAGATGGAAACACGTCAGATAATATATCTGATTAAATGAGCAAAATACTAGGGATGCACGATATTGGGATTTTGGCCGATATCCGATATGACGATATTTTAAAACTCATGTAGCCGATAACCGATATCGATACCGATGTTAAAGCTGGACAAAAATAAGTAGTCATTGAAAATAGCAGTTCTGACACTTTGAAAAATAATATACTCAAATATATTTTTATATGCTGATATCAAATTGATTTTTAAAAACGCGGTATCGATCTATTTTACTTTCAAAATCTCGTGAAATTTCATCGTTCTGTTACAAACTCGTGATATTTTGCAAATTCTTGTGAGGTTTTGTTAGTAAAATAGATCGATACCGCGTCAATATATCAACATATAAAAATATGGCAGAATTTGGTGAATTTTCGGGGGATTTCGTAGCATAACGACGACATATAGCAATATTTCATTAGTAAAAGGGATTGATATGGTGTTTTTAAATGGCAATATATCAGCATATGAAGATATTGTGATATTTTGATGGATCAATATTTTTTCCCTCGTCTTTAGAAGTTTTTAAGTCTGTAAAAAAGAAGTTTTTGAGGAAGAAGAAGAAGTAGAATTTTTTTTTGTTTTTTTAGACTTTAGAAACTCAGAAGCTGATCAAATATCGGGTTAAATATCGGTGGGGTGGCCGATGTCCGATATTCAGTTTTAAGGCCGATACCGATAGGGGGCCGATTATATCGTGCATTCCTACAAAATACTCATTCTGTTGGCAAATAATCTTATTTACCTGCTCAAATTACGCTAAATACACTTAATTTAAGACATTTCGATTCATTTCTAGATCTTTTTTGCTGCGTGAAAATAGAAAAACGGACAGTTCCTTTCAAACAACATAGAAGTTTAAAGGAATAAATCAGATTTAATAAAATAAATGAATTAAAACCAAATAAAAAAAGACTTGCTCTGTTTTTGCATTACTGGTTGTTTTTTATTTGTTTTAATTCATTTATTTTAAAGTTCAATGTAGTTTTGTTCAGTTTTACCTGATATTTGCAGCCCTTTGTGGCAGCTGTGGTTGTTTAAAGCCGCTTTATAAATAAAGATCAGTTGAATTTAATGGATAAGGATGATATCAAATCCTTTTTTTTTTCTTTTTGGCTCAAAGTAACGATTGTTGGGTAGCCGTTGATTTAATGTTACATTATAAACAACCACCACCAATCTTCCTGTTAACTTACCGTAATGTCTTTGTGTTGAACTGCGACGTGTCTCTTCAGGTTGTGTTTTTTCCAGCTACCATGTGGCCACATTCCTTCCCTTCCACTAAAATCAAGCATTTGGTTTTGTTCTCCACTTCAATGAAGTGAAAACGTGTCCATAGATCACGTCTCCTCTTTGTCCCGAGCTCCAGGCAAAGCATGTTTTACTTTTAACCTGTCGCCGCCTCGCCTCTGTGTCCCGCTCAAGGTTTGAAAGTGAGAATTTTCGTCTCGTCTTTGTTCGTGAACTAAAACGTCCATAGATTTTAGCCCAGTCTTTATTTACCGAACTGCATTTTCGTCTCGTCTTTATTAGTCCACGAAAATCATTTCTGATTTACTCCCAGTTATTGTTTATTAGTGGGCATTTTCGTCTCGTCTCGTCTAGTTTTCGTTCGGTGAAAAATGTGCGTTGACGAAAATATTGTCGTCTAGTTTTCGTTAACGAAATCAACACTAATGCAGAGGGTGTATCACAAACAGCAAAGGTGTTGGGAAGAGCTGGTAAAGCAACCAGGAAATACAAGAACTGGTTTGGGGGCAGGTAACAGGAAATCAGCTGATTTATCACGGTTGGAAAACTTTGGTGTTCGGTCTAATGTTGCTGAAATGGATACACATGAGGATATTTTTCTGAGCAGAGATATTTCACTGGATGCAGCAAAAGAGGATGAAATAAAAAGCTGGAAACAAAACCAAGTGTTTGAAGAAGTTGAGGGCAAAGGTCAAAAGTGTATCTCTACTCACTGGGTGTGCACTATGAAAGAAAGTGAAAATGGATTAGTACCAAAAGCAAGGCTTGTTGCACGGGGATTTGAAGAACTACAAGTTTCTGACTTACAAAAGGACTTACCTACCTGTGCCTCACTGAGACTCCTAGTGGCAGCGATATGTCAGAAACAATGGAAACTGCTCTCCTACAAGGAATTGAACTGTGCTGAGACATTTTCATCAAACCACCTCCGGAGGCTAATAGCATAGGTGTGCTTTGGAAAGTGAGAAAATGTGCGTATGGTCTAGCAGATGCTTCATTGTATTGGTACAACAGAGTAAAGAGCATCGTGTTGGAAGCAGTAGGTGTGTCTAAGGTTGATCCTGCAGTTTTCTACTGGTTTGATGAGAGCAAGAATGTTATGGGTGTCCTTGCTTGTCATGTTGATGATTTTATGTAAGGATCCCAATTTTTTTCAGAGTCAGAGTCAGTCACACCGTTGAATATGATCATGAAGCTCATGAAACCTTCTCCTATGTAGGTTTGGACCTTGTTACTTTTGGTACCAAAGTTAAGATACATCAACAGACATGCATCCAAAACCTGCAGCCTATCAACTTCCCCCCTCACTGAGGAGGAGAGAGAGCAGCTCAGGTCAAAGATAGGCCAACAAGACAGAGCAGGCCTGATGTCATGTTTGATGCAAGTAATTTGGCATCCAGTCTCAAACAGGCCACAGTACAGACCATATGTGAGGCAAACAGAGTTGTGTAGAAACTCAAAGCCAAGTCAGTTGAACTGAATTTTCAGCATCTTGGCGAAAACAGTAACTTAAAGATAGTTTAAGTTGTGGAAAGTCTTTATGGTAAGATATCCAAACCTGGGTGAGTGTCCCGTAGGCATCGCGGGGCACCGCCCAATCACTGATACTCTGGAGGGAGAAACACAGGTAAGTGACCACCATCATCTGCAAGGGGGAGGATCATCCGAGTGAGTCACTTACCTGGTTTAACAATCCAGTCCATCCTCTCCGAGGAAGGCAGGATCCAGCCGATGCGCTGAGGAACGAAATGCACCGCAAGGAGCCGCTCAGAGTCTCCCCGACGCAGCAACCCTAGTGAACAGGCAAAAACTGATCCTAGGAGCCAGGATTACGGGACTAAAACTGACCTCCTCCGCATTCCGAGCCAAAACCTTTAAGGCTCCGCAGAAAAGGGCCAGAAACCGAGGTACCCCCCTACAGGGAGCAGGTGAATAAGATAAATGATCATTAGAGAGCGGGGACGGAACAGCAGGTGAATGAAATGAGCAATCAGATCAGCAACTGGGGCTAAGATCATCATCAGCACCCCCAAAATGGGCCAGCAACGCCTATGGTTCTGATTCCTGGTTGATGGGACAGGTGTTGTGAATGAAACGGTGCCCAGCTTGAAAGAGCTCCTGTATGTCGCTGAATGGGTTCATTGATGACTGAAAGTCTAATCAACCAAAACTTTCCTGACCCCCATGCAGTACCTCCGTGGTCCCCTAGGGGTCACGGCCCCCTGTTAAATTAAGCCATAACGATGCTTTTATTGGGCTACTCTACAAAGCCAGGAGCTCAGCCCTACTCCAGACATTTTGAATTGAAAAAGCTTCCTGGATGGGAAGAGAAATGTCTTCAAAGTCCAGGGGATTGTTATTTACTCTAACTATTTTAAAATAATTGTAAAACATAATTTCTAAGTTTATTGAAAAAAAAAGTAGCTCTAAAAACCTATTTATTTGTTCTTTAATGTGTCACTCTGTTGTCAAAAATTTAATTCAAATATTCTTTATAAAAACCACTAATAGACGGGTATCTGTCACAATACGTTAGTTTTTGTTATCACTTTTAGCCACTATTAAGAGCCATTGGAGAAAGTCCAAAAAGCCACAGGGTGGAGACCCCTGCCACATTTACATCATCACGAGCCGTTTAGATTCAATACGCATCTAATTACCAGATAAAAAAGAGCATAAAGCATGAAAATAAAATATATCACAATCACCAGAGATGCTGATTAAACTAAATCCATCCTTCTGTCTTTGTGCAGGAAGCCTTAGTGTCTCTATTTAGTATCAGCCATTGAAGCCAGAGACACTTTGAAGAAAAGCTAATCTAAAACGCAGATAGCCACTAGCTTAACTGGCTGTAAACGTTTAGCTCTAACTGACGAAAGAAAAATGCTGACATAGGGGGCGGGACCTCTAAATCTGAAACCTGATTGGTTGTAGAAAATGTTCCACACTAATATTGTTAAGGTAACATCAGCAGCTCTGCTGATTCTGAAGGCCCTGGGCAGATTAGATTGACATAGCAACACACTGAGGCTGAAATCTGATTGGATGAAAGATATAATAACCAGATAAAAGAAATGCTACGAAATAAAGAAAACGGATTGTTTGATATAAGTAATACAGTTGGAAAGAAGGAAATTAAAGATTAGGTTGTGAATGTTCTGATTGATTTGAAGGCTTTGAAGGCCCTAACAGCCAACCACTTCATCTAAAGAAAGGTTTGCTTCCTGATCCCCAGCTACCAGATAGCAGCCAGCCTCAGCATGCAGAGATACGCTCTGGTGTTTGGAGTCAACACCTTCGGGGCTCTGCTGCTCTGGACTCTGATCACCGTGATTGTGGTGGACTCTGCCGGGCTGGGCCTGGACGTCTTCACGCAGGTAAGTCTTTGGTTTTGTGGAGAAAGTACCCAGTTTTTGTTCCTTTGTGACTCGTGTTGATTTCTTCCTCCAGTTCCTCATCTACGGAGGCTACTTTACTGTTATATCTGTCATCTTCCTGCTGGCCGGGCTCTACAGAGTGTTCTCCTCCAGGCGCTCCAAGCTGGACCTGACGGAGGTCCACGGAGAGTCTGATGCACCGCTGAATGGCGGCGTTACAGTCACTGATTCATCTTGAGAAGGGGAAGTTGCATCACTTTCCTTGGAGCAAACTGAATAGGCGCCTCTACTGGTGTCAGCGTGTGCTGTTCCCCAGATCTACTTTTCATCTTTATTGACTCTACTTTATATTTCTAGTTGGGCTGGGCAGTTAATTGCATTTGCAATATAATTGCAATTTAAGAAATCGCAATTTTAAAATCGCAATTTTGGTCAAGTTATATGTAACAAGACTAATAACCACATATTTTTTCCTCGCTCCAGCACTTTGTGGTGCTCAAATGTTTATAGTAGATTTGCTGCCTCAAAAAAGCAAAGAGAAACTTCTAGCTAGCACTCTGATCTATGCTAGCACGTAGAAGTTAGCACTTTTCCAAACAGAAGTCACAATAAAGTTCCGCAACAACAGACTTTAGACAAGCAAGCTTTAAAGGTCATTAAAAATTAAAACCCTGGTGTGAAACATCTACACACTCTTGATGAGTGCAAAGGAATATCGACAAAAACAAAAAACAAAAACACATTGGTTGAAAATAATCGCAATTTTGGTTTTTTGGCAAAATTGTTCAGCCCTAATTTCTAGTAAGTCTGAGTCACACAGACCTAAAAAGACCCGCTGCCATCTTCATTTGAAAATATGCAGATATTTGTTTTTGGCCACTTTGGTTAAAAAAAAAAAAACTCAATATTTTGCCTCAAATTGTACCTTTTTTATAGGCGGACAAAAAATTGCTGAAAACTGTGGCGTGTGACGATCATCGGTCAGAAGTGATTTGGTGAAAAATGAGAAAAATCTAGACTTCTAATTTTATGATGCAGTAGATCCACCACTTGCTAGCAGCGGCGTTGCTAAGCGACAGCGGAACAGATAGGATTACGATCCGATAGTTGCTAGGTCTGGGGAAACCATCCTGTCTGCCAGTTGGTAGTCGTACCTGAAGCGGCACCAGAGTGCATTTGGAAGCGGACCAAGACCACCTCAGAAAGCGGGTCTCGATCCAGTCGATTAGTCCGGGCTGAAGTCCGATTCTCTTTAGTCACACTTTCAAAAAGGTCCAGCCCTAATCCAACAGGTGTGAAAATGTTCTAATATGTTAATCAGTTTCCGTTAATTTTTTGGGCCAATTGAGTCTAAAGAAATGACCTGTTGCTAGATAAATAGTGAAGGGATGAAGTAGAGCACACTGACTGAAACTGTTTCAGATTCTGGTTTGGACAGTTTTGATTCCACTGGTTTGGAATTTTTGAGTCTATTTAACTGTGTCAAATGGGCAGATCTCCGTATGATCTGAGATTCTTATCCACAAAACAAAAGAAACCTTTAGATCCGGGTTACCTCACTGGCTCTTACCTCCTAATGGGTGTCTGAAAGGTCCGTTGAAATCCATCATTGCAGTGGTGGAGAAACATTACTGCTGCTTTAACGCAGCTGGACTTTGAATATATTATAAAGAGCAACAATTGCATCTTGGTAAGCTGCTGTATCTCTATAGTGTTTATTATAACTCAGTGACCTCTACTGTTCCAGCTGGACTGATCAACAAAAAAGGCTAAAGAAAGATTCGGACAATGCTTCTATAACATACTGGATTAGGAGCAGTTATTTCCTGAAAATCTCCTTGCTAATCAGAGATTATTAGCTACAGCAGAAAACCGCATTAACTTACACTATATTGCCAAAAGTATTTGCTCACCTGCCTTGACTCACATATGAGCTTAAGTGACATCCCGTTCCTAATCCATAGGGTTCAATATGACGTCGGTCCACCCTTTGCAGCTAGAACAGCTTCAACTCTTCTGGGAAGGCTGTCCACAAGGTTTAGGAGTGTGTTTATGGGAATTTTTGACCATTCTTCCAGAAGCGCATTTGTGAGGTCGCACACTGATGTTGGACGAGAAGGCCTGGCTCTCAGTCTCCGCTCTAATTCATCCCAAAGGTGTTCTATCGGGTTGAGGTCAGGACTCTGTGCAGGCCAGTCAAGTTCATCCACACCAGACTCTATCATCCATGTCTTTATGGACCTTGCTTTGTGCACTGGTGCACAGTCATGTTGGAAGAGGAAGGGGCCAGCTCCAAACTGTTCCCACAAAGTTGGGAGCATGGAATTGTCCAAAATGTCTTGGTATGCTGAAGCATTCAGAGTTCCTTTCACTGGAACTAAGGGGCCAAGCCCAGCTCCTGAAAAACAACCCCACACCATAATCCCCCCTCCACCAAACTTTACACTTGGCACAATGCAGTCAGACAAGTACCGTTCTCCTGGCAACCGCCAAACCCAGACCCGTCCATCAGATTGCCAGATGGAGAAGCGCGATTCGTCACTCCAGAGAACGCGTCTCCACTGCTCTAGAGTCCAGTGGCGGCGTGCTTTACACCACCGCATCCGACGCTTTGCATTGCACTTGGTGATGTATGGCTTGGATGCAGCTGCTCGACCATGGAAACCCATTCCATGAAGCTCTCTGCGCACTGTTCTTGAGCTAATCTGAAGGCCACATGAAGTTTGGAGGTCTGTAGTGATTGACTCTGCAGAAAGTTGGCGACCTCTTCGCACTATGCGCGTCAGCATCCGCTGACCCCGCTCCGTCAGTTTACGTGGCCTACCACTTCGTGGCTGAGTTGCTGTCGTTCCCAAACACTTCCATTTTCTTATAATACAGCTGACAGTTGACTGTGGAATATTTAGGAGCGAGGAAATTTCACGACTGGATTTGTTGCACAGGTGGCATCCTATCACAGTTCCACGCTGGAATTCACTGAGCTCCTGAGAGCGACCCATTCTTTCACAAATGTTTGTAAAAACAGTCTGCATGCCTAGGTGCTTGAATTTATACACCTGTGGCCATGGAAGTGATTGGAACACCTGATTCCAATAATTTGGATGGGTGAGCAAATACTTTTGGCAATATAGTGTAGTTTCTAATGCCGTTTGCTGATCTCTGGATGCCATTTCTTCGTCTGTCTAATTATTCATCACTTTTTACCGTTACAGTAGATTTAAACGAGATCATTTTCACTAAACGGCTAATAGATTACTACCTATATTCTCTATTATATAGGTAGCCTTTTGCAAAAATATAAACCTGGAGTGAAAAAAAAATCTGTTTCAGGTAGTTGGAATATTACAAACTCACACAAAGTGAATTTTAATTCTTGATATACTTTTTATTTAATCTTCATCCTTTGATAAGATTTAGGTTTCTCGCAACCAAGTGGAACAAAAATATCCTGTTACTATAGATCAGTTCTGTATTTTAAGCACGTTTCTAATATTACTTTGTTTACATTTTGTTTTTAAGGAGGTACAATTTACTACATTTTGTTTTTGTGATAAATCTCTGGAATATTTAAAATTTCATGGAGGGAGGGCTAAAAAATGTTAAAATCTGGAACAGCTATCTATTTTCCAGTTGGCATAGAATCCTGGACGAGCCCCCAAAAAATGACCAGACAAAACCAGCTTGTCTAAATTCTAAATGATTAACATTGAACAGGGATAAGTTTATTCTGTCAAATTCTGACATTTTCTCACAGTTTCTATACTGAGAGAATAGGTAACGATTCGCTAATTATCCAAATTTTAATAGTTTAAAATGACCAGAATTACATTATGCTGTAGAAACCAATTGTCCAAACCTTATTTTATGAACCACAGAGCAGTATTTTGGATTAGTTTCCAAGAAACACATTGAATACATCAGAGTATTAACTGTAGCCTCCAGCCTTACTAGATGAGATTTAGTGTAAGCAATAATACTTTGTCATATCTAATGATTAATACTGTTAATAATTCTTGTTTAACTAACTTTAAATTATGATTGGTACGAAAGCATAAACATACATCATTCAGTGTTGGTGTGCTGCAACAAAAATGGTACCATTTGTTAGCAGCTGGTACGAGTCTATGTCTGTATCTATATTTGTTTCTCCCACTGTAAAATGTAATTGCACTATCAACAAAGATTTATATTTCCATGTTGGAAGCACTGGTGCAGCCAAGCACAACTGAAGTCTGTAGGTTTTAGCGAACACTACACCGTTAATCTGGAGGTGATATGATGCGCCTTTGTGTTTTAGCTGCTGATTTCTTCGTTTGTGGTGCGTTTAAGTGCCTAAGAGATAAAATAAGCCTTGGGTTTGTTTATTTTTGCTTTATTTGGTGACAAATTGCACAGTTAAAACCTCCAAAGCTGTTACGTAACAATTCAAAAACTTTCAGTTGAAAGGTCCGCATGAGATCCATAGGAGCCTTCTACCAGAAGGGTTCAGGGTGCTTTAAAAAGTCCATAATGAAGGATATTCATTTTCTGCCCCAAATTAAATCAACAAATTAGCTTAAAAAAGGTATGAAATGTTTAGTTTAGTTTAGTTTAGTTTATTTAGGATCCCCATTAGCTGTAGCAAGCTACAGCTATTCTTCCTGGGGTCCAACAACAAAACATGAAATAAAAAAAATTACAAATGAAATAAAATTATGTGGACATTAAAACAACATTTCCCATAATCTATACATATACATATATACATACACACATATACAGATACATATATACATATACATATATACCCATATACATAAACAGAAACAATCCAAACTAATCAAAACAAACTACAAAGCACAGCAAGTGAAGAAGACAGTCCTAATCATGTTTTACCTCTATATTTAATAAATGTTCTTTCAATGATTTTTTAAATTTCCTTAAATCAGTTATCAGTTTAATGTAATTCGGCAGTAAATTCCATGCTTTCATACCTCTATACATAACAGTTCTTTTTAGGGCATTTGACTTTACTTTAGGCAAACTAAAGTTTCCTTCAGTCGCATGCCTAGTCCTGTATTCGTGATTTTCTGAACTAAAAGTAAGGTTTGTAAATAACATATAAGGTGTTTTTAATACAGATATGTTTCTAATCATAACAGTCAATGAGTATGAAAGTCTGTCTTTAACCAACAACCAGTTTAATTTTTTATGCATTGTTATGATATTTGTCCTTAAATCACACTTCAATATTATTCGGGCAGCTCTATTTTGTACATGTTGTAGTTTATTTAGCATCTCTCCTGGGGCATTTGACCAGACGACTGGGCAGTAATCCATATGAGAAAAAATCAATGATTGGATTATCATTTTAAGAATATGTGGGGACATAAAGGTTGCATGTCTTCTTATGACTGGGATTCCTCTACCCATCTTTGCAATCATGTTATTAATATGTTTTCTCCATAATAACGTGTTATCCACCGTCACTCCCAGAAGCTTGGACTCATGCACATTCCTTATCGAGACGTTATTGATATTAATATTCAATATATGATTACTGTTTACGTTGTAATTTGACCTCACAATCATGCTGTTAGTTTTTGCTGTATTCAATACCAGCTTATTTGCTTTCACCCATTTATCCACTCCCACTAGTTCGTTATTCATAATAATTTCTAATTCATTATTTGTTCTTGCTGATGTATATATAGTGGAATCATCTGCATACATAATTATTTTAGTTCTTTTGAGTATGTATGGTAAGTCATTAGTAAATATTGAAAATAATAAAGGACCCAGGCAGCTCCCTTGAGGTACACCACATGTTACAGTTTGTTTTTCAGAAAATGCACCATTAAAATATACCGTTTGTGACCGGTTAGTTAAATAACTGTAAAACCAAGTAAGTGC